ATAAATTTTTAGTTGAAAATATAAAATGTATCTTTTTCAATTGCTTGCATTTTGCACAGTTGCATTCTGTACTGCATGCATTAAATGCGCTTGTGGAAAATAGTAGAAAAAGTGCAACACGATCAAAAATAGATTTGAAAAATTCGAATCTATATGCAACGAACTTTTACTTAGCAATAATCACATTACAAGAATGAGAGATCTGAAATTGTTTTAGTGAATTTCTCTTTAAATTTTGAAAATAAAAAACAAAAGAGAAATGAATAGTGCAATTAGCGATGATTTTAATCTTTTCAGGAAACGAATGCAGCATATTTCAGACATTCATTTTCTTTCTACAAAACGAGCATAAAAACAGAAAGATTTTATCAATTTTCTCTCAGCTCAAGTGAAAATGGACGGAACTTTTCTTCAGTTTACTTTTTTCAAAATGTCTTTTCAAAAGAAAAATTTTTATCATAATAATTTACTGACTAGTAATTATTTATAGAATCACAATAATGAAATTTGCAAATCATTGACTAGGAATTACGAAATGCAAAAAAAGTACGTTTTCTCCGAGTTCGGCCTAGTGAGATTTCTTGTTGTTTAAGGCTGACTTCCATATCATAAATCGAATTTCGGCCAATTTTCGGATCAACAAAGCGACCTTTGTTGAGATCAAAGCATATTCTGTTCTCATTCAAGCTGGAACAAACAAATGATAGATATACTCAATGTCCTTTTATGAAGAACAGTGTTCCCTTAATACACTGCGTTGGAATAAGCGTACTAGAAGAATTCACTTCAGCTTTTACTTTTTTTGCACTTCAAATGTTCAATAAATATTGGAACCAGAAGCATTACTGCGATATCATTCGCTTATCAGTGATAAATATCTTTTATATCATATATAGGCAAAGCAAAATTATCAGAATTCACGGAGTCTAAACATAAATCAACATTAGAAGTAGCGATTTACCCAGAAGATTCATTGGTGCAAATGAGTTGACAGGTGGCAAGAAGATTCTTTGATACAGCAACAAGAAAGAGCGTAATCAGGACGATTGACATTTCACTGACATTTCTTCATACTATTCCTCGGTAAGAACTGCGACTTCTCAAAGACATTCAATATTTTCCTCAGCTTGTGCTGCACTATAAATACAATACAATCCCTAAAATTATCGAAACAGTACTAATGGGACATTTGACTATTTGCTTAAAAAAGTGTTAAAGAATTAAAGGAAACGAAAGAAGGAGGAAATGCTGAAGTTATATAAAGGTTTAATGAGGAAAGACAAGTGTTAAGATTTGATTATTATTGATGAAAGGTCACATCAAAATGTGAAATTTCGAATATAAAGCAATATTTTTACTCAAATACAAATAATGTATTAGAAAAGTGTTAGAAAAGTCCGAGATTTTTAGTTACATATTATAAAAGTGACAAAATACCTGAAGTTGAATGCTAAATTCTACCAAATTCGTTTATGATTGATATAGTATGCAATGCAAATAAATATTTATAGACTTAATATATGTACATATATTAATTAGTTGATCCTATCAAAAAGTGGTGCCTGTTTAGAAATTTACAGATATTTGAAATTAAAAGATATATTATCCCTACAAATTGTGCTGTTCTAATGTTCAAAACATAAGTAGTCAACAGTAACTGATCTTATTAGGTTTAAAATGAGTAGGCTAATTAGCTGATTAAGGAGGAAATCATTTCAGCACACTAAAGTGTTTAACTATAATAAATAGAATAAATTTTTTATTTAATTGGAATAAAACAAATTAAAAGTCTCAAAACAGTATAATTTTATTCATATTAAAAATAGTTTATGCATGCATACTTCAATATCTAGGGAAATTTGTGGAGAAATTGAAAGTAATAATTAGAATATTCGAGATGTCGCGGTAAAACAATTCAGATTTGCTGTTAAAAAATGGATGTAATATTAATACTGTTGCTAGTAGTACGATGAGATTGATGATGCTGCTTGTTTTACAGCTTAAATGTCGTTAAAAAATGTGGTGAGTATTGAAGTGAGGGAATATTTGTTTTGAAGCAAACCATCGATAAAAGGTGACAGAGTACTTGTTCCATACAAGATTTCTGAGAAATTTTTCAAATTCCTCAGAGTACTCGAAGCGAGTGGTAGAATGATTGAGAATTAGACTGTTCAGAAAATAAATAATAGCGGCATTTTAATTGTCCCTCAAGAAAAAACTTAATAAAAGGGAAAAGTGTAACAAATGTGTATTTATTTATTCATTTCAAATTTAATTAATGGAAAAAAAAACGCTGAACTCATTTAAACATATTAATATATAATGCATTTGCAGAATGGTCGCCATTAGTGTAGTATTTTAGTTGAAATACTAAAAAAAAGTTGGCTCCAATTAAGTAAATTCAAATTGAAAGCATTAAAATTTTACTTTTCCGAATAGAGAAAAAGAGCAAAGAATGTCTTAGTAATATTTCCTAACATATGCTAAAGAAGGATAAAAATGAGGAATTCAACAAAGTTTTCATTCCGATATACTGAAAAAGTTTCCTTTTTTTTTTTTGAAACACCGTCGAGTGACATAGGATACTGAGGAAAAAAGTCAATGATTTTTTTTTGCCCACCAGAAGTAGTGGATATAACTAAAATGAAGTTGTTTATGCAAGTTAGTCATGAAGATTTATAAATAACGGAATAAAATCACCAGCTGGTTTAAACGAAAGCACAGAAAGGAACCAAAACATTGTGTGTGTCATTAAGACGGAGGTCTGTACCTCATTTTTGCTCAGCTACGCTTAGATTTTAATCTAATGCGCCTCTAGCATCACATTTTTTTTTTTTTTTTGTTGCCTTCGCAGAAAGATACATGGTTGACAGATATTGTACAGTGTTAGAATGATTGATATTCATTTACTACTACTGTTCTACTATGACCGGTTTTTCGTTTTTCTAGAATAAAATATGTTTAGAAAGATGAAGCGTTAATTGCATTTCATGGATGCAAATTGTTGAGAGAGATGAACTACTATTGATTGCTTAAACTGATGATGATAGCTTATTTAGGATTTTCTTTTAAATGAAGAGAGAAACAGCAGGGAAAATGAAAAAAATTTAATGCATAATGAATTCATGAGAAAGATAGATTAAAATTGCTAAGCTTCTTTTTGTTTTGTTTTTTCAAGTCTGTTGATTGAATTTTCTTTCTGAAATTCATTTTTGCTTTCTTAAAAAAAGAAAAAAAAATTATTAAGCTGAGGTAACACTTTTTCTCTGGAGATTCCAGTTGGTGTTATATGTTTAGAGACATAATTTTTTTCTTTTTGAGAATTTAAACTTCATAACAGTCATTCATCAGTAAGATTCAGAACTGTATAAAATGGTTGAATTTAAGTGAACTCATTTATGTTTTCTAAATCTTTCCTTCTTCAGTGATTTGCAATAAGGAATAGAAACTTTTAAAAATTTCCATTTTTGTAATAGGAAATTCTTTCCTGCTAACCTCTTATTGTGACCAAAAGTTTTGGCAATTTTAAAAGTAATGGGAAGGATTTTTTGCATGCATTAATCGAATAGATCCGAAATAATACTTAGGTGAATAACAGTATAAAATGATAGTACTTTGGAAAAATAACTTTTTAGTGATTCTATGACTTTTTCACGCTATTTAGACAAAATGAAACTAATTCAAAAATCTATCCTGAAAATTTTCTTGTGTTCCTTTTCCTCTAAAAAAATTCTGGAGACTTTATTTTCCTATTTCCAAATGAATTATTTTGTAAATGTAATTAAGGTAAGTATAACATTGGAATTTATGATGGATGTTGAAAAGGAGAAGGGATGGGGATTGGAAGATAAAGGAAGAGCATTTAAAACTTCAAAGTGTAACATAAACGCTTGTGATTGAAATTATCGGATGCAATTTGTCTTTTGGGAAAATTCTGGATAATGAGGTCAAATCCCCCTTATGAATGAGAAAAAAATTTTTTGTTTCCAGAAAGACTCCAGAAGGTAATGATGACAAGATCAACTCTGATAACAACTCATTAAACATCCTGTTGCAATTCACGTCCATCCTTAAAAGAATCCTTTACTTTTTTTTTTGCTTTCTTATCTTTTTGAGAAAATTGTGAAAATTAGATCAAAACGGCATTCTGTCGTCTTTAAATATATCATCCAGTTAAGGTTTAGAAAGAAAAAAGATAATATTGGACTAAATTAAACTATTGCGCTTGTATAAACGAAAAAATTATTTCCTCCTAGTCGAAAGCAACAAAACCTAGTCGAAAATTCCCTGATACATAATTATAAGAACCGAGGACCATATTTCAATGGAAAAATGTGAAGTTGTTCTGAAAAGATCAGTGTATCTCAATGAAATAAATTAGTATTAGAATATTCAAGATATCATAAAGTATCCATTTTATTTATTTTGTACTATATATAAAAAATCCTCTACCAAATTAATCTGTATAAGTTGAAAGTAATAATTAAAAACTCAACAAAGCAAAAATTGTACAGACAAAATGAAACATTTTCAATAATTGTAATACTCGAATAATTATTAACAGCAACAATAACAACGACAACAACAACAATAGCAATAACGGATAATTTATGAGACAAATTTTCTTTAGTCCTTAGTTAAGGAATCTTTTCATCTTTGGGTAAAAAAGATGAAAAGAAATTCTTCCTTTTATTTTCTCAATTTATCGATGGATGAAAATCTTTGATGTTATGAAAATTTACATACCAATTAAGATTTGTGACCTATTTACCCTTAATATGAACGGCGAGATGGAAATGGGATGTTTTTTCCATGTTTTGACATCCCTAATATCCAAATAGGAGCACATTTGTACCTTTTCCTTTTTCTCAGTTCTTTTTTCTTCTCTTTCCTCTATTCTCCTACTGATGTCCTAATTGATAGCCCAGCTATCATATATATGCCTTTTTGGGATAGTTGAGTTATATGTGAATTGTTTTAAACAATAGACGCTCAAAATTATGCAAACTTCGAAGGTCCATCATATTATCAATTTATTTCTGATATATAATCTCATGAATGCTATATTAACTGCTACAATTGATAACGAATTGATAGGAAGTCCAGTGGTGAGCTTTTCCCACTATCTTTTTTTATTACCTATTGCCAATATAATATCGTTTCTACCAAACAAATTTTATTTACTGAAATACACCAATGGGTCGATTATCACAAAACAAATCCTAAAACTTTTTAACCATTAATGCATTACAAAGCATAGGCATTTAATACTTTTTGAACAGTGTAAAACTTCTTAGCCGTTACTTTAATGTGTTGTGATGAGCATCATTGCTCATCACAACACATTAAAGCTAACATCAAAAAATAATGAAACTGATGGCCAAATTTGAATATTGCTTATAAATGTCAGTTGAATATCAGTTAAATGTTTCTTTTAAATACTTTCTGTTTAATCATCAAAATTAATTGACATTATATTTAGTCATTCGTATCCCCTATTGCTTTAAAGCAGTTAAAACTATAAGGGAGTCTTACTATTTACTTCACTTGCTATCAGTGTTATTCTGGTAACAATGGAGTTACCTAGAATTGAGCAGATCCTGCCATTATGACATGACTTGTGCTATATCATTCATGTATAACTCATTTATATTCAGGTAGATTGTGAGGACACCATGGTATCGCTAACATTCAGAACCAGAAAACCATTTACCGGACGTGTGTATGTACGTGGGCTAGCTGATGATGACCGATGCTCCAGGAATTTTGCATCAAATGTCGATCAGAACAAATTTTCAATGATGATTCAAAATGGTGATTGTACCATGCAACGGCAGCGAGTTACTGGTTCTTTGGAGGTACCTTTAAGAAACTTCAGATAATTATCTCTGCCGTTTTGCTTACATCTAGCAATGTATATTGGCGCAATAATCTAGCATAAAATTTGAGCCTTCCACAAAACATTTTAAGACTTCCATGTAAGAATTTAAATATTTTACATAATTTTAGGGTATTATGTTCTCTCTTACAATCGTAGTATCGTTTCATGGGACATTTGTAACGCGGGCTGATCGTGCCTATCGTTGCATGTGTTTTTTCCGAAATATCAAACGGTTAACATCCGGTGTGGATATGTCATCAATTGGCACTACTGAACTGATGGATGCGGTACAAATGCCCAGTTGCACATATAGCATTCATGCTGGAAGCGCAGATGGACCACCAGCTGTGTAAAATTTCTTCAGAATTGAAATTAGTTCATACCAATAAAATTTTTTCAAAGTTGAAATAACTTATACCAACTTTTATAATAACTTTTCTCGTTTATTAGTGTCCTATTGGTTACTTGTTTGTGCCAATTCACCAATTTGATTTATTGTTAATCAATCTGCCGTTTTATGAATTGAATGTTTTGGGGAAAATAACTTGAGCAAGAAATCATTCTAAAATATTTTAAGAATAAATTGTTTTTATACATTTCTAATCAAATTTAGACGATTACATTCAACTTCTTTAAAAAGAACTAAATCTAAACAATTTGAATAGATCTGATACAATAGTTTATACGTTATAGTTACGGCCAAGTCGGTGAAAAAATCTACCATGTTTGGGAGTGTGACGATGACACACAAGGCTTTTTGGTACATTCATGCTTCGTTAACGATGGACGAGGAACACGATATGACTTGGTATCTGACTTTTTTTACTTTAAACTATTTAATATTTAAGTGAGTTATTAATAAGTTGAAATTTTTAATTAATAATTGTTTCAGCTTGACTTGGATGGATGTGCTATTGACCCAATTATTCAACCTGATGTGCAATATGATGAAGATCTGAAAAGAGTAAAGTATTTCTATGTTTTTACAAATTTAAAAAAAGAAATCAACACAGTGATCTTTTCTTAAATCTTTTAATGCAGAAGGCGTAGTAGCTGAATAGAAAACTATTTAGTTTTAAGGCCCTTACTCTTAACAACAAAATTATTGCAAAATGGGATCAAAACTATTTTATTAAAAAAAAAATTTTTTATCATGTTAATAGCTTTAATCTGTATGTTTTGTTCTGATACAGGATTACTTAGATCGATTGATAGTTCTAATTCATCATAACATTACTGAACAAAATGTCTTTTCTCCCTTATACAATGAATAACTAATTTTAAATTTAAATGTCAAAACAAATACAAATGAAAAATATTGAAAAGTACAGATGAATTTCAGGAGCTGCATTCCAGTGTTTCTAGCAATTAATCATTCAAATTTTAGATGTTGAGTGTATTTTATAGGCAGTGGTGGAGACATGGGGATATAAGTTCAGTGATACTTCAGTTCTGAATTATCAGTGTGTCGTTGAGTTGTGTAAGAAAAGTGCTGGCGAATGTGAAGGCCTTACTCCACCAACATGCACTAGTAATAATCGAATTCGGCGCAGTATAGCTGACAACAATTCTAGGTGATATTTAAATTTTTGAGTGATAAAACTGTAATCATTATAGAGTGACTGTAATAAGTATTCTAAAATTAGCAACATTTTAGCATCATATTAAAAAAGGATGCGCATGATGTATCAGATTTACATAACAGTCATCAGATTGATTTGGTTGCTACAGTCAGCATGCTCGATAACATTGAGGAAAACGGGGCATTTGATCCTCGATCACGATATTTGGTGCGAGAAGTCAGTCAGGTATTGTTTTTTAGCTCTAATTTTTGCTTTTGAATAAGTCGTAGCATTGCAATGATTCAAAAGTATTTTCCTGAAATTTTAACATCAGACATACATACTATCATATGCCTGAGCAGTCCATATGATCTTTGCTTTGATACTTTTTTGTACTATACAAATTTCAATAAATTATCCTAGATCTATCGAGAATATTGAAGCAAAAGTATTTATTTAATTGATAATATCATTAAAGAACTATAAATAAAATAGTCAATTTCAGTCCAATTATGGATCAAAAATTGGAATGGCAGTGGCACTGGTAGCATCACAGAGAGTATGTCTAACCTACCCGATTCTTGGTGCACTGCTTACTGCTACTTCACTTCTTCTTACCATTTTGTTAACTGCTGTAGTTTCCCTGTACAGAAGGAATAGGTACAAGCTTTTAAAATTTTACATCTGAAAATAAAGACATGAAATACATAGATTTTATTAGTACCATACAATCGGATTAGCTCATAAGTTAACAAGTAACAGAATTCAGATTTTCGATCTAAACCTTTTTTAAAAGAAAGCTCTTTCGTTTTTACTTAGAAATCAGAATTCGATTTCATAACTGATTATGTGAACTCATGCACAAGTTATGAAGCTTAAATTCGCAAAGAGTAATAACATGTTAATATGTTTTAGTGAAATATCCTTTTTTTTCTTTCTTTAAATTGATAAGGAAACTAAAAATTTTGTGGGAATTAAAACAGCTTTTGAATAAATAATTTTCAAATAAAGTTGATAATTATGAATTTTTTTTTCAGAAAAACGTTGAAAGAATGAAAATATTTACCTTCATCTTCAGCGACGAGCTTAATTGAATATAATAACCACTAAATGTAATATGACAAAATTTTGTAGTCGTAATAATAATGATTCAGGTGCTAATGTTAAATATTATGGTAACATTGATCTAATAAGTGTTGTGCGAAACTCAAAATAAGTTTTGAATAAATAATTTTCAAATACGCTATGCTATTATTATGTATCTCAAGGGATAATGCTCAACACTGAGAATCTTCAATAAAAGATGACCAAATTAACTACAATTAATCATCCAATTAGTAACTAATTTTCAACTAAGTGATTGGCAGTATCTTTTTGTAGCTACTTTTATCAGACTGAAAAGAAGAACTGTTTAATAACAGATCTGGTTATTAAACTGATTAACAGTATATCAAAGGACGCTTTTTATAAACAAATGCTGGAATTTGGCTCAGCGATAAATGTGCTCATTATTTATGTGATGTAAAGAAGTTATATTGCCAAATAATTTGTTAACTTGACATTTAAGACTGAACTTCAAGATCACCCAAAATTTTACTGAATCCCATATTGCGATAATAGAAATATCGAATTAAAATAGAGTTAATCTCGAAATGTGCAGAATTAACAGTTGTATTCGAAATATATAAATACATTAAAATTTCATCATGTTAAGATAATATAAAAACTTGTTAATCGGTTTTGATTTCATTGTCTCAGTAGTTTGTCGTGTGCGAGAATTCTCGAATGTTCGTCTCGCCATACCTAACAATGCATCACGCGCTCCAACCCATGCATATGGACCCTAAAAAAAAGGCTACAAATTAGTTCCAGTTCACAAAAAGTAAACTGATCAAATACAATAACTGAGGCAAAAACAATGGAGAAACTCAGATGACACTTTTATGCATGGTCGGAGCTATAGCAGAAAAATTCTACCGCATAAGTTCAAAGTTTTTTCTAGAGCTATATACAACAATGCTCGCAGAGGGGTACTGCTATCAAAGCAGGGAATATTGCAAAGCGTGATGAAACTATTTTGCTGGTTCCAAAAAAGTAATTAGAGTTAAATTTTAGAAGAAATTCGTGAAAAAAGCACAAATTTCCCATAAAAACATAAAACTGATCATAAATATTGCTAGTGACAAAAACAATTAGTTGTGCAAATTTTGCAATTTTGCAAACTGCATATTCTCCAAAATTTACGCTAATTTTATTAAAAATAAAACTAACATTTAATCTAAATTGATACGGTGCCAAGCCTTCAAATAACAGAATATATGCCAAACGAGGATCAGTGAACCAGTACTTCAGCAAATTCGGTTTCATGCCAACCATCTTCGCTAGTTCATCCATATAGGTTGCATAATCTACCTTAAGTGAATACAAATAATATTTTACTTTATTTTGTGAGTTTTTTTTATGTGATATGATTATGATAAACCTCTAAAGTATGTCGTCGACTTTTCAAAAATCTTTTTTCTATTTGCATTCTCCTTCTCTCAATATCCTTTTTCATTTTATCGATTGCGGGTAACTTGCAATGGCCAGCAAATACTTCACAGTAAAATCGAGATTGCATTTCGGAAACAGGCATTATAGATCCAACCGGTTGGATAAGACCTATTACAGCCAAAGTATTCTGCAAATGTGAATAGTTTGCTTGAGGAAAATGATGAAAGATGCAAGAATAAGGGAAAAAGTATGAATCATGGAAGGAGAAAAAAATAATTTTGAAGATTCCAAATTACCAAATTTAAAAAAAAAAAGCAAACCTTTGGTGATAATTGTGGTGGAAATATATGCAGATATAGATCAACTTTATTATCAGTAACAGGTATAAGATTACCATCTTCAACGATTGGAAATTGAAACGAATAACCAGTACCAAAGATCACTGCATCAACATTACACACCGCTGTACCATCTTCGAATATCACATCATGTTCAGTAAAACGAGCAACATTCGGCTTAATCTAAAATATCGTTCTTCTATACAAAATGAAATAAGTACTCATATATTCTTCATACCATTACGATTATTCAATTAGTGATAGCTAACGAATAATAATAGAATGCAGTATGCACATGGCGTTCTTAAGTTATAAGACGTAGGTTTAAGAAAGCTCACCTGATCGTCATCAATCAAACTGTTTCAGTTTGATTCAATTGACTCAATAATTAACCAGATTGGAACTTTTTTATCAATTTCTGTTTTTTAATAGGTTTAACTTTACTTACAATAACAGTTCCGCATGCGATACGACCCGGCAACTCATCATTGATAGTAGCATGTTGTGCAAGAGCGTGATGCTTCGGTTTTAAACCATATCGCCCATGATCAAACTGCAGATTAAGTTTCTTTTCATATGATTTGTTGACCAACTGCAATATACTTTATTTTAAGCGTCCATAACAGATAAATTTAAATAATACAAATAAAGTTAAAGGAGTTTAGAAAACTAAAAAAGCCGAAGATGGCTAACAAAAAAAAAACTTAAAAATTTAAATCCATTCAATAATTTAAATTCATTTCTTTCCGTCTGGTTGTTCTTCTATATATAATTTTGCTTGAGCAGAGGAAACTCTGTTTTATTAACACGTGCTTTTCGTAATATTTTTTTAATTTTACTGATTATTGGGCAATATTTTTAATTGTCTTACCATATGTTTACTTCAGAGTTCCCTGCTAAGGGACACTATTGGCCAGTTTCGCAGGAAATTTAGTTAATAACAAAATTTAATGGTAGTTTACATTAAATCAGTAACATTGAACAAAAATGAATGAATTCACTTTGTCAACAACTTACCCATGATGGCATAATTTTTGTTACTGTCTGCACGTAGCGACTAACAAAAACAAGATCGATCGGTTCACCCTTATCCCAAATTCTACCAATCACCCAAGTTCCATTACGAGTTGATATGTAAACCTGAAATATTAATTACTGATGAATAGAACTTATTCTTTAAGGCAAAATATCTTAACAGTTTAGGACTTAATTTTGAAATTTAAAAAAAGAATCGTACCTCTTTGGAAATTCTACTTAAATCGACTGCAATGTCACCAGAAGAATTACCAATTCCAATCAATACTACAGTCTTGTCAATGTACGAAAATGGTTCACGATAATCGTGGCTATGAATAATTTCGCCACGAAATTTGTCCTGTCCTGGGAACGGTTTAGGCCAATATGGTATAGTGTGGTGACCACAGCAGAGCAATATTCCCTCAAATTTCTCAGTCTGCGTTGTATTATCGCTATAAAAAAATTTTTTTTTGTAAATGTTTCTTGTTAGCAGTTTTCTCCATCTTCTAGCTGCTTGTTTACTTTCTTTGAAGTCTGCTGTTATTGCAAGCGGTAAGAACAAAGGATTGAACGGCTATAATCAAGCAGGCAATCATCCTTAGTATGAGATATGAACAAAAGATAAAGAATGCTTTTCAGAGAAAATATGTAATTATTAAAGGATTTCAGACATTAATTTGTGACATACCGAAACAAACATATAAGCATCTTTGCTTCATTCCAAAAAATAAGACTTTCTGTAACACGAAGCTTAAAGGATTTAATAAAGATGAAGGAAATTTATAGTGATGTGAGCGGAAATAGTAAGGGAGATACAGACGGTTGGCAGGTGAGGAAAGATAATGTAAGGCAAGAATAGGAAGACGGTCAAAAGAATAAAATGAGAAGTAAAAGGAAGGATAGATGAAAGAAGCTGTTGAAGTTCAAAAAAAAGTCATTTAAATTGTGTGGAAGGCAAACAGGAAAATTGGCTTTATAATTATATGTTGAGATGGTAATTACTTGGAGAAATTAAAATGATAGCTAGTGCATATGATGGATGAAAGACATAAAGTTGAATCTTTTTTTAAAATGTTTAATTGATAACAGAAATGACGGTCAATAAAAGAATACATTGGGACATCTCAGAAAATAGAACATAATAGCAAATTATAAAATGATAACATCAGTTGTATGTAAGTAGCAAAAGCGGGGAAAATAATGAAATACTCAAATAAAAAATTGAGGTTTCAGAAAATGAAATGTCAAAAAAGCATTTTCATTGCAAATCGAAATGAAGGAAAAACATATTGGTAGATCACAAAGTAGAATGATTTAAGAGTCGAAATTTGAACGTTGTAGTAAGGGAGTAATCGTTACTCCACTGTAAAGACAATCTATACTTCCTTATCATGTATAGCAGCTTAGCATTTATGTCAGTGTCTACAAGTGAAAAAATAAATGGATCAATAAATGAAATAAATTAACTCACTTAATGATGCGATAAGTAACATTCCATCGGCCAGTTTCTTCATATTTCTCATCTCTTTCAATACGTGTTACTTCATGACTCAAACGAATATGTTGTAGCAAATGAAAATGATTAGCGTAAGATCGAAAATATGCCAACATTTGAACGTGACTCATGAAATTAGGCATTTCAGGTGGTGGCACAAAATCACTAAAAGCTGTCATCTCCTTTGATGTATTGATTGTCGTGTTTTTCATCACGGTACCCTCTCCTAAAGAATAAATAAATTCGATGAAAGCTTAGAAATACTAAAGGAAAAAAATAAATGCAAAATTTGTTTTTATTAGTACATTTCCGGAAATGTTGATTATTAAGACCAAATGGTCATAA